GGCCAAACAAATTTTTTTTTCTCTTGCATGTTCTGTAGCAATTGTGCCTTCAGCTCATAGAACATTATCGCTATAATGTCTGTAAATCTCAACTCCTATTGATTTGTGTCAAATACAATGATGTTTCATTATTCTATCCTGCACATAAGTATTTGTTAACTACGATTCTAACCTTGTGATATTTTTTGTTTTCTTGAATATGTGAATTCAAGATTCTGAACCATGTCATATAACATATTCTGGTTAGAATTCTTGAAAAGAGGATTCAAAGCAGTCTAGGGAATATTGCAGCAACTTTATATATGTGACTATAGTGATATACATATACAAATTATATGTGAAATAATTTCATAGATTTTTGTGACAATTTGAATCATTCATGAAACATGCGAAAAATATAAGGATGAGCGAATGTGACATATTGAATCTTTTTAAAAATTTAGTTGCACCCAAGATTCTGAAAAATGGAATAAAATATTGATTTGGAATAACGGAAGATTTAAGGTTCAAATGTTCAATTGGATGACTATAAATGCTAAAATTATTTGAGTTTTACTTATTTGATGCAAATATGAAAGTTAGGCTTTGTTTGGGACATCTTCATACCACTATTTTTATCTTCTTTTAAGATATTTTTTAACTAAAAAGCGGCTTTATAAAGCTGTAAGAAAACCATCCTAAATGAAGCCTTAATGTTATAGAGTAATTTTTATATCGAGCACTTAGTCTTATTTCTTTACTCTTCACATAAGTGTGTGGAAGTTAATTAATTTTTTTATAATTTAGGATTGAAGTTCTTTTTATGATATTTGTGCAGTGATTCAAATTGTTATGTCTACAAGTAAATAACTTAATATATTTGGGAATTTGAGCAATTATGTTTTAGGAATTTGGGTTTATAAATTTTTATAGTTTTATTTAGTTGGAGTAATTATATCTGACCATTTGGTTAAAAGAAATGCTAATAAATTGATCTAGATATGAACCAGACCATTATATGAAATGGTAGCTAATTCAACAATCTGTTCTATTTGTTGAATCTGATTTTGAGCAAATATGGCTTTGAATGTTGTTTGAATTGGACTTGGGCTTCGTTTGGGACGGCTTTTTTACTTCTTCTTAAAGCAGTTTTTTAGTACAAATATTTAAAATTCTGTACTAGAAAGTTGCTTTAAGAAGTAATAAATGAAGTCTTAGGATCAATTCTGATGGACGAGTCGACTTGATTCACTTTTTAATACCTTAGGTTTACCCAGTTCTTTTATCAATTAAAATTATCTAATACATGAAGGATATCGTCAACAATCACATATTTGGCCGCAAAAATCTCCACATTTTGTAATTACAATTATCATGTCGTATGATCAAATTTTCATTTTTATAAATGTTCATAGATTTTTTCTTAATTGGGTACTCCTATATCTTAAAATTGATGAATTTTTTATCTCATTTAATTTGGGTATTTCTACTCCTTGAAATTTGTTTAACAATATTTCCCTTTGATAGTTTGATGATAGGGTGAGAGTTTATTCAGAGACATTATGGGTACAAACTCTCGTAATTAATTATCTGTTCCATAGTATTATATAATGCTGATCCACATCAAATTTCTGAACACTAATAAAATTACTATGGTGGGAGCTTTTATCTTAATCCACTGATAAAGTAATTGGCATGTTCAAGATTAAAGATAAGTTGTTAGTTTGTGAGACATGAAATTGCAATGTGTGAATGTTTGGGATTAAGTGCATCCCTTCTTTAGAACTCTTCAACGCCTTTTCGAAGAGTATGACATAAGTAGTTTTGACGTCAAATTTCGGCCTCGTTTGAGACAGCTTTCTTACTACTTCTTAAACCAGTTTTTTTTTTATGAAAAAATACTTAATTTTTGTACTAAAAAGCTGCTTTAAGAAGCAGTAAAAAAGCCGCCACAAACGAAACCTTAGTGTCAATCATTTTTCCTCTTGAGTGATTTTGTCATTCAATGATGTGAATCTCCTTTAAAATTCTCGTACTCTCCCATTCTCGACATAAAATGATCCTCGAAAAAGTTAGCCACCAACAAACATTTAGATGATGAGCCACTTTGATCTTGAACCTTATAGGGTCCTTGACAAGTAGATGATGAGCCACTTTGATCTTGAACCTTATAAGGTTCTTGACTATAGGTAGAATTCTATACATCGATAGGCATTCAATGAATGGATCAACCTAGTTAGCTTTGACTTGAACTTTAACCAAGCCTCAATGGTGGCGACAATCTTCTAAGTTATTTCTATGGTCATTATAGAAGAAGCAATACTTGGAGGGGTCAAAGATCATTTGTTATAGCACTCAATTGGCAAAGGTTGATGAAAATACTACTTATTGCATATGACACCGTCAATCTCTATCAAGAAAATGAGAAATTATTTTGTGCTAAGATTAATCATAGAACTTCGTCTGGAGACCAATCAGAATGTGCCACGTCAGCAGTACTGAACTGCGGTACTGAGCAGTACCGAGCTACGGTACCGAGCGAAGGGGTGACTTGGCACATTCTGGTTAATCTTCGAACGGCGTTCAATATCTGCACAGAATAATTAATCCAAGAAAACAAAGAGAGGGAGAAAAAAAATTCTCATATTTTCCCAAAAAAAGAGACCGAAAATTTTTAGGTATATTTTCTAGAGAAAACAAACATGTATATTTCTCAAATTTATGTAATATGAGATAGGCAAACTTAAAAATTTTTCTTCACTTTTCTGTTAATCTATATAGGAAATAATGATTTTTAGCCGTTTAATTTATAAATAAAGACACGTTTAATGTCATGTATGTAAATCTGAGATGATTTGCTACTACATGTATGTGAACAATTTTTTTTTTTTTTGAAACGGGGTATTTATCTGCTGTCACTCCCATAGAAGAGGCGATTGAAGGAGTAACTAATCCCTCGGTGGGCCTAACGGTAATCAGCCCTACAGGTACCTAACCACCCACTTATTTTCTCTCCATTTAAGGAGTTGTGCCGCATGAGAGGGGAATCGAGCATGGGTTAGGAGGTTCTCAATCACGCTCGCCCACAAACCCAGCTAAACCCGGTGGGGTTGAACGTGAACACTCACCCAACTTTTTTTCTTACACGAGGTTACAAAAAAATGTGATTTTGATGCATAAAAAAATTTGCTGTGGAAAATATATAAATAATGATTATTAGGTAAGTGTGTGTGTTTATATATAAATTTTAGTGATAGATATGTAAATTTTTTTTTTCAGTTTTATATATACAAGTATTGTTATTTCATAAATATAATTGTAATTCAATTTAATTATTTTATATCTCTTCTACCTATTAAAAATAATATTAATATTTACAAAATATGTCATGAAATATTACAAATAGTAAAAAGAAAAAAAAAAGGAAAATATTTTATCTGATGAAATAATATATGATAAATAATAATAAAGCGAAACTCCCAACAAGAAGTTTTGGTTGAACTGTATTCCTTCTCTCCCTCCTACTAAAATTGATTACACAGCTGAAGTCACTAACGTACAAAGAAATCCCAACAGTTCAATCCACTTGCAAAGCCTAACCTCTCTCAAGCACACCATATGAATGAACGCCTCTTTAAGTGCCCTCAACCTCACTCCCATGTCATCAAAATCACATGAAACTTTGCATTTGAACCTATTCAGCCTTTTATATGTGGATTCCGGACGCAATCAAAATAGGTCATGCCGCATGTACACAGTACACAAATTGTATACAGCTTATGCACAAATTTTACATAAGTTGTGTAAAGACTACGCGGCCTATTCTGATTGAAGTCCGGACACAAGCTCAATTTGGACTCCGCACGTAATAATTTCTTGTCTTTATGAGGAGAAATTATTCGGTGCTAAGGCCAGATGCAGCTCTACGTCCTGAGACAAATCAGGTGCAACCATGTTAGCAGTACCGAACCACGATAACGAGCATACCGAGTTAGAGTACCTAGTGAAGAGCTGACATGACACATTCTGATTGGTCTCAGGACGACGTTCGGCGTCCGCACAGAATAATTAATCCTTTATGAGACCTCTTGAATTTATTTGTGTCAAAAAGCAAGAGTACTGATGTAGAAGAAAAGAAAGTTTATATGATGCTATTTTCTTTAACTGACCAGAAGGTAAAGCAAACTGATACTGGCATAGGATTCCAGACAAGCTCTCTGTCTTTTTTTTTTAAAGACGACGCGGCCTATTCTGATTGAAGTCCGGACGCAAGCTGCATTTGGACTCCACACGTAATAATTTCTTATTTTTATGAGGTGAAATTATTCTGTGCAGAGGCCAGACGCAGCTCTACGTCCAGAGACAAAGCCACGGTAACGAGCATACCGAGTTGCGGTAACTAGCGAAGAGATGACATGACACATTCTGATTGGTCTCAAGACGACGTTCGGCGTCCGCACAGAATAATTAATCCTTTATGAGACCTCTTGAATTTATTTGTGTCAAAAAGCAAGAGTACTGATGTAGAAGAAAAGAAAGTTTATATGATGCTATTTTCTTTAACTGACCAGAAGGTAAAGCAAACTGATACTGGCATAGGATTCCAGACAAGCTCTCTGTCTTTTTTTTTTACAGTGTGCTGAATTCTCTTTGGAAGCAAAAGTGGTAAGACTGACCATAATGCAGCAATAATGAGCCATATTATTCCTTCTAATCTAAGTTAAAATAATTGCGATTGAATTACAGTAATTATTTCAGCTTTTGTTATAACATTTTAGCTAAAGTTTCCCCAAAATGCCCATAACTTGTATGAATATGACATGTTTACCACAAAATAAGATAAATATATATTCATATTCATAACAAAATCTTAAGCCCTTAATTCACAAAAGATAACACGTATTTGAATTAAAAACGATGGCAATCATGTGAATTCAATGAAAATCAAATGGCAATTGTATGACCAGCATTGTTTATAAAGCCGTGTCCTCTCATGCTTCTGAGGTGCTCCCTTCAGCCTCATGGCTCAACAACCTTATCTCACATCTCATTCCTATAATTCCTCATTAAAAGCTTCATGCCAATCCCTCAAGATCAAAACTCATGTAGAAGCTTACATTCTAAGACATGTGTGCCGCATCGTCCGAGCTTTATCAAGTGCGAAATCCTTCCTTTTGGAGCTATTGAGCTTAACAACTTCGACCACCAACAAGAACTCGAGCAACTATATCACGAAGATGAATAAGAGAAAGAAGATAAAAAGGGTGCTAAAGTCTATCACCATGTGGTGTAATTGGCCTTCCTCGCACGTAATTCCGATGCCCGAGCTTGCGGCGAGCTTCAGAGGTCATAATGCCATAAGCCAAACATACTATGATTCAACATGGAACTCGATTGTTATCGTCGATGACAATGATGATGGATTAGAGAGACAACTCTCTGGCTACCTCCAATGGCTTGAAGAAAATGAATTGGGCGGCAACCACGGTGATGATACAATTGAAATTGATCGACTTGCCGAGAAGTTCATCGCAAGCTGCCATGAGAAGTTCAGGTTGGAGAAGCAAGAGTCTTATAGGAGGTACCAAGAAATGCTTGCAAGAAGCATGTGAATTGGTTCTTGTTGTTTGTTTCTTTTGGTGGTGTGGTTAGGATTAGGAAGAGTTGGTGAACAATTCAGAATTCAGTTTGATTGGATTCTGCATCAATAGCCTTCTCCTGGTTTATGCAAAGTAATATGATGGAGAGATAAAGTATCTTGGATGGATGGCTGTGATCTAGTTTATGATTTTGTTTGCGGTGAATAATGATATACTTAGAATCAAATAGTATGCTCTTTTTTCAAGGATTGATTGGTTATAGTAAGTGTGTTTAGTAGCGAAAGATGATCAATCTGACTTTTGTTCGAATTCTATTTAGAATTTCAAGTAAGTCCATTGCTCAAGATCGGTTCAAGTTTAATTGAGCTCATTAAGACATACAAGCTAATCTTAAGCTGAATTCAATATATATTATCACGTTGTTACCGTGATAGAAGAAGAAGAAGATGATGATATCGAGTTGAAGATGAACAAGCTACTCCTTGTTCTTAAAAATACTTTCAAAGCTTAATTTGTTAATGTAGACTTGATGAATCTAAATTCATCAAGTTAAGTAATGTTAACTTCATTCAAAACCTTTCAATTTTACATGTTTCCATTGTTTTCTTCATTGTTTTGAAAATCGGATTGGACCGGCCGGTTCAACCATAAACCGGTCTGGTGGCCGGTCCGATCCAGCTTACAAAACCGGTTCTGCATCGAACCGAATCAAACCAGATTGAACCGGCGGTTCAACCAGTGAACCGTTGAACCGGTCCAAGTTGGAAAAAACCGGCCAGTTTATAAAAAAAAATTATTTTTGTTTTAATTAAATTTTAAACAATATATTTTAATTTATTAAATTCGGTTAACATTTTAAAAATAAAATTTCTTAAATATGATAATTAATTATGTCATAATTTATGTCAATTATCTCAAATAACTCACATAATTTGTTTAGTAAAAACTTTTCTTGCTACTCGGAACATTTAGATAGTACATTCTTCTTTTTCCCCCCCCTACAATTTGATTAGTTATAAATAAGTATGCAAATGAGCCTAAGGTTCCGTTTGGAACAGCTTTTTTGCTATTTTAAAAAGCAATAACAAAACTGTCCCAAACGAAGCCTCAAGCTGGACTAGTAGAGCTTGATTCCTTTATTCTAAGGTATATATGTTTATATTTGTTAATGTTTACAAATCTCTCGTTCAAAATTGATGCATGAATCTCAAAATTAATATTACACTAATCTTAAAGCAGATCTAAGATTTTTGAAGCTCATCTGATTATATTTTAGTAAAGGTATCATAATACAGTTTTTTTTTTTTCAAATTATGGCAAAAGATTTAGAAGTAATGCTTTAGTTTAAAATCAGATGCTGAGTTTGCAGATTCTTTCAACATTGTTGTTGTTATTTTCCTCACATAAGTACAAAAAAAAAGCCCCTTTTGTTGGAAACCTTAAATCAAATAAGCTTGAGAGCCAAATGGGACAAATTTGGCCCTTCAGCTGGCTGAGCTATGTACATTGTTACTTTTTTTTCAAAATCAACAAACTCTTTGTATCATATTTAATTTTTTTATTCACATGATATATTTCACTATTTTCGTACATGTATTCTCACATTTTGTTTATATATTTTCAAGGTTATGAAGATCAAATAGAACAATGTACTAGAAGGAGAGGATCACAATTTGATTGTTCAACTAAAGTCGAACCGGGAATAAATCGGATGATATAATAAATATTAAAGTTATTGAAATATAATATAAATTACAAAATAATTAATATTTTAACAAAGAATTGTGGGCTCCGAAAATTCGGCCCCGGCCTCCGCTCGCTTTTCTTTATTCGGCGAGGGAGTTTTAACGAACTAAGTTCCGAGGTAAATTTTGGAAGGCAGATGGGTTTGTAGATAAGACACTACCCAGAGATTTCGCCCTCATTTTGTGAGGACTTTATGATCTGAGTTCTGGTTTCCTATAGGCGCAAGCCCCTATAGTTAATTACCCCTCCCGATAACGAGAGAGAACTTTCAATTAAGGCTAGTCATCAATCAGATACGTATAAAATACACGTTATCTGGCATATAGTAGCAGCAATAGATTGGATACTGATAGAAATTGGATTTGGAAATTGGGTTTTGATTACATGATATGGCTAACTAATAATTTTACATTTTGTTAAATTTATTTGCATAAGTAAATACCTTTAAATATATATTTAAAATTTTAAGAAATTTAATCAAATAAAATTTAAACAAAAAATAATATTTATTAAACTAGCCAATTCAACGGTTCGAAAGTTGAACATTCAATTCAAACCAATTCGCACTAATTTGATACAAATTTGATTTTTCAACTTGATCGGACTGGCAATTGGACCGGTTCCTAATCAAATCAAACATTTTCCCTCTTAAAATGTTCTCTTATTGACCATGCCCCTAAAAGCTTGAAAGCTAAGGATGCTTGACCGTCAAGGATCATCAGAACATCTAACTCACCAAAAGAAACTAAATCAAGCCAGCCCAATGATGTTGCGAGGCAGCTTGCTAGAGAAACTCCACCCTAATGGTCTAATATGCCTAATTGTCCAAACCACTCAACATAGCCACTTTCTTGAACTCAGCTGACCCAAGAGAGGGAAAAATTATTACGTGCGGAGATTGAACACAAGAACAGTTCGGTTTTGTAAATCACATTTACTGTTCACCGCTGCGCTTTTACTGTTCAAAGAGACAATCGGACGGTTTTCTATGTTCGGTCTCCGCACGTAATAATCTTTCCAAGAGATTACGGCCAAAGTCTAACAGACCCTTGAACCCTAAAAACTTAAAAAATCTAACACAATAATCAAAACTTGTTATGCTCTTAATGGTCATAACTGAAACAAGAACAAAAGCATCATTAATGCACAATTCATAATTACACTAATGACACACTTACTAAACATACACATGTCAAAATAAACAGAAGCATGTTATCACATGATTTATATGTTAAATATTTTTTTTCCTAATTATTTAAATTGTTCCTATCAAACCCATATCAAAATTAGAATAAATTTATAATATATAAATTAATACATGATATTAAATACTTTTTACAATATATGAAAAACATATATTATACTATTTTAGGTCTATAATATAAATAGTTTTCCATAATAGTAAATGTTTAACAGGTACAACTAACAAGTTCTTGTCTACCACCAAATAATCTGTTGCTTCCATACAGAGTGGAGATGCATATATATATATATTATTTGTTTATTATTTGCACCTTGACCATCCTCCAGTAGGATTTCTCTCAAATATGCGTGGTTTCCGACCTGGGAAAGTATGTGTCCAGTCTGGGTGTTTTATCAAATAGCTCCATATTCTACAATAAAAAGAAGTACAGTAGTTAAAATGGAAATCCTACTAAAAATTATTTATGAATAAATAACCTCAGGAAAGATGAATCAGTGAATCACAATATAACAGCAGAGTTGACATTTGTATTTTGTTGCAAGGGCCAAATCCAAAAAGCAAAACACTGATGTATACAAAAGTTCTTCAAACTTGATTTGATTGCTTTCTAAAACAGCTTTTTAGCACAAGAATTTTATAAGAAAATTGCTTTAACAAGCAGTAAAAAAACCATCCAAGCTAAAATTTCTATTATGTAAAAAGTTCTTAAAAAGTAAGTTTCTGGTTGTCAGATAATGCTCACCTTCTTTCATTCTCAACAAAATCAGGGGCTTCTGCATCAGGAGAGGTAGAACACCTCATCAGAATTTCAGAATCAGAAAGCTGTTGAAGAGAGAAAGCAATCTTTCCCCAATCTAGCACCCTATATCAAGATAAAATGAATAAAGATAAAGTAAAAAAATATGTGAAATCAAAAGAATTAGCACCTTTCAAGCGGTTGGATTCAATATACAACACTGCTTTTACAATGGAATCAAAAATTAAGACCAAGTTTCAGAATCTTAGCATTGAATTCCTAATTTACCCTGACAATAGCTTATTTTAGTTTAGTAATTCAGTGTTTATCCACGTAATTCAAAAAACTTCTCAGCCAAAAAAATGAAAGAAAATTATATGAGGATACTCTAACAAATAATTGATTAGGATTGACCTCAAAGTTTTAAAATTTACTTCAGATAAATGTAATATATGAGTAATTTGTATTTTTTTCATCTCAAAGCAAATCCTAAACCTTTGAAACTCAACCTGAGTAAAAAATTGACTAGGATATCTGAGAAAGAATAGTCCTTAAGCTTTTGATCCAGTATAGCAAATAACTACAAAGTTATAACTACCTGCGCAGCTTAAAAAAGTACTTTGCAGCAAATGTTCGTCTGTAAGTGCATATTTGACAATACTTAAAAAAATTATTATTATTTTTTTTTTTTTTTTGACAATACTCAGTTCCCTTTAAGTATAAAAAACAATATCAATGTGAGAAGTAACTTACCAAGTGCAAGGTGCAACCACAATTCTATCACAAAGCGTGTCATATGTCTCCAGTAACTTCCCATCCCAGTAGGGATCTTCAGAAGAGACAGTCACCCGAATCCTCCGAACAATTTCATCTGGACATCTCGAAGTTTTGTCAAAGCACGCAGGCATTACTGATCCAGAAGAAGTCTCAACCTTTCAAATGCATTAATATGTAAAACTTTTAACCACATAATTGAAGAAATATAGCTTGAAAAATGATGACACACCATCATCAAAAATCTTAAGACCGAGATTGAATAATAAACAATCTCATATGATATGTAATGAGGCTGTGACATTATCTCTGTATAATACAATTCTGATAAATTAACGTTACTCTAGATAAGATCTATATGCTTTAAACCAACAAAATACAAGCTATCTGCAAGGCTTCCAAGTTGTCAAGTTCATTTGGAAGTGAATGATACTAGTTATCTTATATTCCTCAAGAATTCCGTGCAAACCAAGCTAGAATAACAGGGATTTTCACGATTTCTTCACTTGGGTCTACTACAAGTGTAACCACCAAGTTCAAAAACAAAAAACAGGAATTCTCCAAACATAATATAGAACAGAAGAACATGAACAATATATTACTTTCAAAAAAACAAAAACATTATTATGATCTTTGTTAACCTCATCCTAACTACCTGGGGGTGACTTTATGAATGCTCATTATTCCATCCTTCATCAGTCTTTAGCCTATGGTACTAATCTATTCTTCACAAATCATTTTGACGAGCTATTCAAATAACCTTAGGTTAATACAAAGATGCAATCCGGGTGATAAACGGTTGCGGATTGATTAACTAATTCAAATAAATGAAAATTTTTTAATAAGCTGTGCTTTAAAGGGTTGATGAAGTTATTATCTGTAGTGAAAAAAGTCAGAACTAAAATTCAAAATAGGCTCCTAAAGACAACAGTTATTGTAAGGACATCTCATCAATGGATGAAGGGAGATTATTTGATAGTGTTTAATTACCACAAATCCACTAATGATGGGCATTGCACTTCCATTCAAGTCTCTTTTGGTGTTATGTGACAAAACACAAAATGTTTGGAGCTGAAATTTTTCTCGTCTATGCTGCAACGCTTCAACAATTTTCAAGCATAATGGTAATGAATAACCACTTGGAATGATTTTTCTTCCTCCTGATTGATTGCTACCATTGATCAGCTGCAATAATAATCAAGCAGCCATGGAAGCTGGAGCTTAAGTATTTCACTTCTGCAGAAAAAAAAAAAAGAAAGGACAAATACAAACAAAGCCACATGATGGCAAGTCAGACTTGGATAGGTTTATCCTCAAAGCTACCGATCAGATGAACCTGGAATTTGAGTAGATAATTGAAATTCAGTCACCAGACAACAACACCAATCAAACTCATCAAGATTAGTAAGAAAACTTGAGAAAAGATAAGAAAGACATTCATCCAAAGCTGCATCGACATCATGATCAACAACTAAAGACAACATCTGTGTTAGGCCCATGTCACCAACTGTTACAAAATCCATATGGCTAATGGAGATCCTGCAATCAATATGATAGATCAATATCATGTATTAATGCATCCATCAAAATCGACCAAGTATTTCAAAGAATATAGCAGTTTCTAGTGTAGTTTAATATCTTCCTTACATTTTAGTATTCCGGTTACATATAACCAGACCGACGCAAGTTGTTGCTTCATCTGTTCCCACAAACTACAAGAGAAAAATCATGTAGAATTACTTTAAACAAAATTTGATGCATAAAGAGAAGAAAAAAAAAACTAGCCTTCAAGTTAATCCTTGCGCTAGAATTCAAGAGAAAAATTTCTTAAGAACTAAGGAGCAATATTATAGAAGAGGACTTCAAAATGAGTCAATGAGAACACGAAAAAAGTCTCATAAAACCTAGAATGGAAACCCCTAGAGCACAAAAATTTACAAGAGAGAGAGAGAGAGACGGAGAGGGAGAGAGAGAGAGAGAGAGAGAGAGAGAGAACAAGAAAAATAATTTTGGCCGCCAACTGTAATTCAGCCAGAGCTATACTGCCACATATCCATAGCATCACTCCATATACATACCAATATACCATACTAATAATAATAATAAAATAAATAGTTTTAATTTTACTCTCATCATAATCCCAACTATTTGAGGCAGTGTTGTTAAAAGTTTGGTTAAAATCCAAACATTGCAACGTGATCAGCGGGAACTTTGTTTATGAATCATGCACTAGTTGGTTGCAAAGAGCATGCAATGCATCGTCAAGCATGAAAATAGCACACTTGTGTGTTCTGACTCGATTTATAGCAATGGCATTCGACTTCATCTTCATGAGCAACACTCAACTGTCTCTATTATCAGCACTCATCTTCATTTTTGTCAGCAATGCTCGTCTTTATTGATAGAAGCGCCATCTCGGTCTTTGTTGCATCATCTGTGCGTCCATTTTGCTTCCTCCAGTAGAAGAACTCGTTGCTTGACCATTTCTAGCATTTGACTTGCTTCATTTAGGCCTTGACTTTCGTGCTCGATCATCTCCTCAGTCACTAATTCATAAGGTGATTTTTTACTAAATCACCACTAAATAATATATATTATTTATGCATCATAGTTCTCTACCTATATTTCTAGCATTTGTAAAATCAAAAGAAAAAATTATATGAATATGAATGCTTAGGTTGAAAGACTCCTATTTGTTTGTTATCTTTTGAAGGACAGTTGTTAGAAAATTTACGTCATATGATTAATTGTAAAATAATGAAAATGTTATGCATTGTTTGGAAAAGTAGTTATATATTTTTTATAAATATCATATGAATTTAATAATTTTTAATATTTCAAATAAATAAATTACATTTTTATATGAAAATTTTTGGAAGAATATTTTCTCATCATTTCTTAACAAGAATAGATTTATGCCAAGTATATTGTTTCGATTGTAGTCTCTATAAATTAAGTATTAATAAAAACAAAATATTATTTTGAATTAAATTAGTATGAAAAAACAATATGGACCAGGATCTTTTTGCTTTTATTGTTTGATCTATTTAATTTAAGAAAAAAAAAATAAATTGTTAGGAATTGATCTAGTTTTAGGATAGTTGATTCCTAGGTTCATTTTATCCCCATAAGTCTCTATATATAGAGAGGTTGTAATAGGCTTTTACACTCCAAGCCAAAAGAAATAAGATTAGTTTTTGTTCTCTATCTCCCTCTCCCCCTCCCTCTTCCTCCCTCTCTCTCAATCCAAGAAGAACAAGAAGCTCCCCTCAAGAAATCCCAACATAAATAAAGCACCAAAATATATGGGCCTTATTTTGTTGAACATTTATGTTAAAGTTAAATTTTCTATTATTTAAAGGTAGTTAATTTTAATGTAAGATAGTAAATTCAGTTTTTACCTATTTTGTATGAAAGATATGGCTGATTCTAAAAATGAAAGCAAGGATCTGACTTGAAAGTATAGGAAGTTAATATTTGAGTGAAATACTTGTTGCCACATATGTATTTATTGTGATAACGAGACAAATGGAGGTACATCTCATGCCAATGAGCATCTTATTGGTCCTTCTGGAACATCCAAAACAAATAATGTGATTAAATTCAAGAAGATTCCTACAAATGTAAAGAAAGAGTTGGTTGTTTGACAACAAGGAACAAAAAAGTTGAAGCAAAATTTATGTTAATATACTAATAGGGTGATAGAGACTAGAAAAAAGAATATATTTAAATGTATGTTCACAGTGGAAAAAGATCATTCAAATCAAGCTATGGAACAGGAAGCATCATTTAATCAAACATAGGGTTAAAATTCCTTACGATGAAAAATCCTACTAATCATTTCCTATATCTAGAACCTTAAGAAGAAGTTTAAAAACTATATATATATATATTGTTGCGTCCAGGAGTATTCGCGGCGGTGGAGAAATATAAAGTTTATCATCTTAGCGTTGTACGAAAATCCGGCACGCAATCAGATAAGGAGAGAGGGTCTAGCATTTATGAGACACCAAGATTTTTACGGGGCCTAGCCCAGTTTGAACGAATCAACTAGTATTTGCAGCCGATTACAAATGAGGCCTTTCTTTGGGAGAAGGCCTTAGTCTGATGTACATCTTATAGAGTACATTACATGATGTAAATACAAAGAGTCACTATTGACATGTTCGTTTGGTCGTATATATATGAGCCAAAGGTAAATCAAAGAGAATTTATAGGAAGAATTAATGGATGGAATCATATAATATATAGCTAGATGTTTCATCCACAATAGAAGAGCATCAACAGAAGTCAATCACAAGTGGTCTAAGTAAAAACAAGAGGTTCATCCATAATGAGGGATAGTGCGTCTTGACCTGCATCTATGTTTATTGCTATAAAGAAAGAGCAGATGGGATTACCTCTTAAGAAAAATAATAAGTTCTTGAAAAAAAAAATCTATCTAAAGGATAAAGAGATTATATTAATAAAAGAGTTTATAATGACTAACTATTTTTCTAGAACTTGTTTAATGAAATTTAAGATTTTATGCATTTAATGTTATTTTTTGCAATGAATAAAATATATTTTTATGCAATTTTGAAGTTCCCAAATTTTACATCAAGCTACTATACTACTTTTAATCTTTTGTTAATTCCTATGCAAGACAAAAATTGTTAAAATTTTCAATTTGCAAGTTCACATTTAAATTTTGTCTTCTTAGATATGTATATCACATTTAACTTCAAATATATATCAAGTTATAAGTCATTTATTAGATAATTTATATTTTACAATTGCCAGTAAATGTATCATTTTTTTAAATATTACTTGATGTTTAGGTTATTCTAAACACTTCTATTGCATAGTCTTATTGCATCTATGAGCTCCATATTAAAATTTATGATGATCATCAAGATTAGTAGTGATTAGAAAGTAACATTGCATTAGAAGTATTATATCAATAGAGATCCATGCATCCTAAAACAAGTCTAGAAGAGAATTTAGCTTCTTTCAACATAATCAAAATTGTTAAGGAGGTTCATCAATTATAAGAGTAATCAAACAATAACATTGTCTCATACAGTAAAAATATACAGATGAAATAGAAGGAAAATCTCCACTGAAAAATTCAACACATGTCCCAGGCATAGTTGGCGACTAACCAAGCATCAAAACTTAAACTAATTTTGAATTTCGTGAAAGAATTTGAAATCCAAATTGAATGATACATGCACTGCTGATGATCATAAATAACACTTGAAACAAAACAATTCTTCACGTATAAGAAAATAAAAAAGATCGCTGAAAATTTGATGAAAAGCAAGAATGGATCCAATTCATTCAAAATTCTCTTCACAATTACAAAATCCCTCCTTGTTATGCAGGGTATAGAGAAAGTTTAAGTAGTAGGGGTAATATTGAGTCAAGTTCGAGTGAATCAGCCTCAAGTTACATAAATAGTTTGAATGACTCGAGCAAAGTTCAGCTTGAGTAGAAAGTAATTGATTTTAAGCTGATTCAAATCTCTCTCTCTCCCAGTTCACACAAACACGTACGCACACACATATTGAGTCAATTTCCGGAAAAATCAAACTACCATCAAGCGAACCATCTTTGAGTTGAAGCAAATCTTTTTAAACTTACTGCCAACTAAAATTAGACCTATTAACGAGCAAGCTTTAACTTTCCAGCATAATTTCCAACATAATGACCATCTCTAGCAAGGTTTTCTGAACTCAACACCACCAATCAAGATGTAGGCAAAAAACCATAGTTCAATGCCCACATTCTATCCAAACACCTATTGCACAAAAAATTAATCGCAGTGTCCTCTCGAAAGGACAGATAAAAATAAAACCGACAGGCATCTAAACGAAATTATGATACCTCGACGAGTGAGGGATCGACGGTCGCATACTCTCGCTGGAACACATACAAGTACTTCGCTGGAGAGAACGGGACATCTTTCTCCGGCATCGCCTTGAGGCGATTTGAAGCAGCGATCAGCGTCGGATGTTCGAGTAGAAATACTAAGAGCTCGCTACCCTAATCGTAAAAGAACCGAATCGAAGTAAGTGAAGAGTAAACATTTCTTAAAGGCAAGAGGAGGACAAGGAGAGGAAAACCTTAAAAGAAGGGTCGGTGCTCGTAAGAGGAAGGCCATCGACGTAGATCATGGCCCTTTCGCCGGCGGCGAAGACGCTGCTGGATGCGTAGCGGGGTGAAGCGACCGTCGCAGTTGAGGCGTGAGAAACGAAGAGGCTTTGATTAAATTTTTGGCAAAATTTTTAAGAGATAATTTTAATTAATTGAGTTAACAACTGCTTTACTTTTTCATATCCCAATCACATTTTCCTTTGAGAACTATTTTTTAATACTTAAAAAAAAATTTATAATAGAAAATTATTTTTTCTGTTGTCCAATTAAAAAAAAATTTGTATAATATTTATATGAACTAAAAAAGGCTACTTTTATCTTAACAGTTTCATAACTATCTTCATAAGAAGTTGAGGCAATCTCAAATTAATTTTAACAACCAATTTGAAATAGTTTTATGATGTAATTAATTTTCAGAATGTACTTTTTCAGAACTTTTTATCCTGAAAAATTATATTTTACCATTGAATTTATTATAATGTGTGGGATATGCATGTAATTCACCCAATAAAATAATAATGCCAAAACAACTACAAACAAAACAAACTAAATAAATCCATGTGGTAATAATCTGCAAACATTTAGATACTAAATGAGTTTCCCAACACCTAATAAAATGACCAACAACAATAATAGACCTCAAAGCCTCAAAGACAAATCCAAACCACTATCACCATTACCCAAAGTAAGTTCCAGATTCACAAAGCTTTCCTCCACCGCCATGGCTGCCTTCTTATTCTCTCTATGCTGCTTCTTTCTATATTGCCTTCTCATCTCCTCAATCTCCTTCCTATGTGCAGTCTGGTGGCCTCCCAATGCCTGTAAGGTTGAATAAACCTTATTGCAGAATGAACAAACATGCCATGCAGTTGAATTTGATCTTGAAGAATATCCTTTCTGTTGATAAGATCTTTTCATTTTTGAAGAAGATGAAGAAGAAGCAATGGAAGCTTGCAGTTTACAGTACTTATAGAAACATATGGAAGCTTAGAGAGAGAGAGAGAGAGGAGTGTATTTTAGAGTTGGAGACTAAATAAAGAGATTGTTAAATAAGGAAAAAGAATGGAGAGAGGAATTAGAAGGAAATATTTGGAAAGGAATGGTGAGGCAAATTCTGATTTATGATAAGGAGATGAACTTGGACATTATATGCATGTATGGTTGCATTGAAGGCCTCTAGTGTAATAAATTTTTCTTAGGGAGAGTAGAGTGATTTTTAATATTTGAATTAATTTGGAATGTGCATTGCTTCTTTTCTTTGAATTTGATTTATTTTTATTGAAATGAAGGGAAGAAGAAAAATAGTTGTCCACTGGAAATTTGGCAGTATATATATGTTGAGTGTTAAATTGAGTAACCATGAATTAATGGAAAGGAATGTATGAAACCTACCAAAATTTTGTAGAAGCGAGTGTTTTAATAAAGGTACTAATTAAAGACTATTGTGATTCATGTGAAGCCTACTTCAAAAAAATAAAAGGAAGGATAATTTAGGTTTTGTTTGGGATAGCTTATTTATTATTTTTTAAAGTAGTTTTTTAGAATAAAAATTTCAAGTTCAAAAATTTTTGTATTAAAAATTAGTTTTAGAAAGTAGGAAGAAAGCTATCCCAAACGAAGCCTTAATAAATAGCTTTAAAATCTTGATTATTTTAAAAACTTGCATCATTCTACTTCATTCATTAAAATCTCATTAAAATATTGAAATTTATGATAGATTTCCAACTCTTTTTTTTAGTAAAATTCCAAATGATTTAATTGTAGCAAGTGCAAATAATTTTTTTTAAATGAGTGGTAGTTTTATAAATATGGTAGATTTTAATGACCCTTAGTAGGTGTGTACTCATTAAATGGTTGCACACCCTCTATGAATTTTTGAGATTTTAATAGTGATTTAAATTGACAATTTGATATAACCAAATTTCGCTTGAAGATTATGATTTATTTAGATTTGGGTTTAAAGATTCATGTCGGAATAATCCTTAAGAAGTAATTACCCCTCCAAGAGAAAGAACAAGGGAGAGAAGTGAGAACTATTGATTAAGAATGGTACTTATTTTAGACTAAATTTGTTGATAATTACAATTAATAATAAATTTTTATCACTCTTGCGACTGATCGCCTCTTGTTACAAATTTTGTATTAAGGGGTTTCTCTAAAAGTAAGTGCAATATTTCAGTGAATATTAAAAAATCTCAAACGTAAAAATTTTAGCATTTGCTGATCTTAATTTTATACTTGGTATATCATAAAAAATTTATCTTGGTGTGGCACGAATCTCAAGATAAAATTGAGTTGAAAACTTTCGAAATTAAATTTGTAACCTTATGAACTCCGATTTCAACAAACTTATAATCGAATTGAACGTCTCGAAAAGAAGAATCTAACGACACCAAATTCGACTCAATCCTTGCCCAAATGGGACCAAATCAAAGACCTGAAGCACATTTGAAAGGTTCAAACTATAAATTAGATAACCAAACAACTTTTAAATGTTACATGCTTATAGTCGAATTGAGAGGCTTGACGAGACAAATCCAACGAGCTCAAGATCATCAAAATTTATATCATTAATACATTCAAATACACAGTAAACGGTCCACAATCAAGTGGATCAATATTAGTCATCCATTCAAACCACTCCCAACATACCCTTAATCTCCCTTTTTTTTATTGACCATGCTCCTCCCCAAACAATATCAATAAATCTCACATTCTTCATTATGGGGGGAGGATCCAAGTAAGGAAGAGAGAAAAACTAGAGTTCTCTTGCCACCGGACTCCTCTTCGGCCACCGTTGGACCACCAACCATCACTGGACTATTGGTATGCTTCTGCCCGTCCACCAGTTGATGCCAGACTTTCACCCAACTACCAACTATGGTCTTTCTGACCTTTGTCACTAGACAACGGTCTTTATGACCACTATTACCCGTCGAATACGGTCCTTCCAACCTCCATCACCAGATAATGATCTTTCTAACCACCTTCATCCACTGACTAATGCCCTTTTAACCTCCATCGCCCGCCGACTACAGTCCTTCCGACCTCCGTCGCTAGACAACTATCTTTCTGACGACTGTAGCCCACCGATTGAGCCCTTACGACCTTCGTCGTCAGACTATGGTCATTCGAACCTCTATCACCAGATAACAATATTTATGACCACTATCATCCATCATTTACAATCCTTCTAACCTTCATCGCCCACCGAATACAATCTTTCTAACCTACATTGCTAGACAACGACCTTTTTAATCACTATTGTTTGCCGACTACGACCCTTCTAACCTTTGTCACCATATAACAGTCTTCCTGATAATCATCGCCTGCCAACTAAGGTTCTTCCGACCTCCATCGTTAGACAATGGTCATTCTAACCACTATCGTCCCATTACTACTGTCCTTCCTACCACAGTCGCCAAATTGTGGTCCTCCTGACCATCGTCGCCAAATAATAATCTTTCTTACCACTGTCGTTAGCCGACTATGATCCTCTGGACCTCCGTCACCAGACAATAGTCTTTTGGACAACTATCGCCCGCTGACTACTATCTTTTCGACCTCCGTTGCCTGCCGACTATAATCTTTCTAACCTCAGTCGTCAGACTATGGTTTTTCTGACCTTCGACGCTAGACTTTGATCTTTCAAACTTATATTGCCCGTCGACTACGGTCCTTCCAACCTCCGTTGTCAGACTATTATCATTTTTACCTCACTTGCCCGCCAAATACGGTTCTTCCAACAACCGTCACCCGACTACAGTCTTTTCGACCTCTGTCGCTCGCCTACTATGGTACTACAAATATGTTTATATTGATTCTTCCAATTTCCAACATGTAATGCATTCTACATGATGTATATTTTCTACATCAAGTCAATGCCTTCCCCCAAGGAAGGGTCTCATTTGAAATTGATTACAAACACTAGAGGATTCATTCAAACTAGCTCAAGCATTATGGTTTTCCACCTTTTCAGGTGTTTCCACGTAAAAAACTCTAGTGTCACTTATGAACGCTACAGCCTCTTTTTTATCTAATTATATGTTGGATCTTCGTATAAAGCTTAGATGTCAAACTTTATATTTCTCTATCGCCGTTAATATTCCCGGACACAACAATACTAATGTTACAAATTTATAACTTCCCTTAAGACTGAGCACATTTAAGTTGTGGGTCTTTCCATGAACTTGAAATTCATACAAAATAATTTATTACCCCCTGGGTTGTGGGTACAATTATAGAATAATGAATAATATAGTGTGTGTGTGTAAAAGGAAGTGAACATAGTGACCCTGAAAGTGATTTTTATGGGATGTTACGTGAGATTATGGAGATAGATTACATTAAAAGGGGTGTGTGGTGCTATTCAAATGTGTATGGTATGATACTTATATAGGAAAAATTAGCATTGATCATGCTTGACTAATTAAAGTGAAATTATGAGTCATTCATATTAGTTTCATAGCTTCAACAAGTTTACCACATAAGTAACCTATCTAAATAAAATGAGAAGATTGGTGGGGTTTTGTAAGATAGCGAGGCAATGTTGATACCAAACTCTACAAGTATAAACTAATAAATAATTAGGAGTAGCATAGATGTTATTATCAAGAAGATACATCTCATGTAACATAAATTGTTTTGCCTCCACTTGAGTTATATGACTTGGGAACATTGCTTCATAAGGATTATTGAGAAAGTAGATGTCTGCATTAAAATTTTGAATATTTGTTCATCCAAAAGAAGAGAATATTTTAGTATTAATATTTCAATTTCAAAGAGAAAGAAAAGTGATTGAAGAAAGTAATTGGGTTGACGTAGAGGGTTAAGAGCATGAGATCTTGCATGAAGTGATTTAATTCTATTAATTTTGAAGTTAGCATTGCTAAGCAAATGGAATTTTCTCACTATTTATTATTAAGGATTTATATGTTCTAAAAAATACACTCGATCAAGCACAAATCTCGATGTATATTAGGATTGAAAATTTTAGAAATTAAATTTATGACCATCCAAAGCCTGATTTTAATAAATTTATAGTTGAATTGAATGTCTCAATGATTTGAACACAACGACACTAAAATTGACTATATCTGGAGCTTGAACTGGAACTTAAACCGTGACTTAA